GAAGTGTTCCCACTTCACTCTGACATGGAGTATAAGCAAAGATGAATACTAAGATGAAACTGTCGGAAGAAAAACTTTCTATTTTAGTGTCCTCTTTCACGGTCCCTTTCATCCAAGGAATACCCCCCGTATTCAAGGTAATTTTGTAATTTTGCTGCCCCCTCGATAGAGATGAAATTTTGCGCTCATTTTGATCAAAACAAACACACCAAAATCAGAGATGTCGCATCTTTTAATTACTCGATTAACAACTAATCGATTTTTTTTTTGTTCGCTGTGCTGCCATTTTTCCACCAATGAGAGCACAGCACATATTTGAAACGATCGGTGATGATGCTCTGGAGATGTTAATGCTTATATCGGCACGATATAACCGATTACAAATATTTTACTTTTCGTTTCGTTAATCGATTCATCAATTATTCGAATGAAAATCGGCCATCACTAGATGAATGTGAAACGTCATTTCAAATATAAGGACCGTACATATATAATGATACAATTTGAAAGGGACCGGGGCTAATCACAAATTACGTCCCCACGGTAACTGAAATAAACACGAGTGTTCACCGGTTGGTATAAGGTTATCTTTTCTAATTGCTTTAATCTTGTTTAGTTCACTAGATTTGAAGTGAACTAAATAAAAATCATTAGAAATCCTGTTGCGTGAATCGCCAGGACGGGATTTCATTTTCATGTTGACTACTTGGACTGACTCAACTCTAACTAATTGTTCCATTGCCAATTTTGATGTGATCCAATGATTCACCACTGGGCAAACCTTTTAAGACAACCCTGAACAGACGTTCAGTTTTGGTGTCGTGCATGAAAAATTTGTGAATAAATTAGAAACTTGAAAATTATTGAAAACTTTTCAGTTGTCTGATGCTGTAGTCTGTGCTTTCATTGGTAAGAAAATTGATATTATATGTATTATTAAGTTTCTAATATGTGTGATTATTCCAGCAAACCGGTACACTGTCGTTATTTTGAAGTTCATCAAACGAAAAGAATTGGAGGAGCTAATACAGCAGCCATTTTTAGCGTAAAGAACGAAATGCATCCACGGAATCAATGTATGGAGAAGAAGCCTGGTGAGTAAAACGTAATTTATTCAATTAATCAAATCAGCAATGTCTTGTTCTTTTTAACCAGAATCTTCGACCGTTGGCTGAATCAGCGCCTTGGTCTTTTGTTTTCGGTACTGAGTACCAATGCTATCGACGCCAGGGAGGCAGCTCTCACACCTGGACCATACATATCGACCCATCAACTCATGGACCGGGGACCACGGATTTACTTCCCTTCCGAAGGAAAGTGTGATCAGAGATTCTATGTCTCAGAAAATCCCGGCGATGCCGACTGAGATTGAACCAAGGCCTTTTGGGGTGAGAGGCAGTCACGCTTAATTATGTAATTGTAATTGTAATGTAATTTCTAGTCACTGCACAGTGGTCCAGAATGCAGATTTAAGTGGAATGATATGTTTTGAGCCTGAAATTGAAACTTTAGACTAAAAGTCTCTTCTACAAAGTTGTTCCTTATAGTTAGGTCCTCATTTTTATGACAATGAATTCTAGGGTGGTTCTTATTATCGTTAAAATCTAAAATCTAACTTTTTTGTTTGAATAAATTAAGGTATACATTTTCAAGCAAAGTTATAGATGAGCTAATTTCAAGCCACTTTGTTGAAAACAACTTTTTTGTATCTCTTAAATTGGCCGATTTAGAGCTATTTTCTTGAATTGAGTTAGGGTGGCGCTAAAAAACAGCTATTTTGCTCTAGTTTTCTTATTTCAAGTTTCTTAGCAAAGGTGTTTTGAAATAACTTTTAGATCTTTAGAAGGTGCAAATTTTTGCTGCAGAAAGCTCGTCAATATCTTTCGCCGATCAAGAGTTATTGACGGTTTGTGTTTTGTACTAAAAATATGCACTTTTCAAATGTTAATATCTCTGGTTGGGGCTAACAAAAAAAAGTTTTTTTACGGCATTTGAAAGGGCGTATGTTATTCTCAATAATATGACAAAATTGAAGGTATGTTATTTTTTAAACTCGTATAAAATCAATTTAAATTTATTCATATTTTTTACTATATTTGGGTATATCTTTTTTATTAGAAGAGATACAGGCAACAAATGCAGCTATAAAACATTCGTCTTAAAGAGTTTTAAAATTATCTAGAAGACAATTTTCATGAGAAATTTCAAATAAAAAAGTTATTGCTAAAAAACTATTTTTTCCAGGAACACCCTAAGTCAACTCTGAAAAATTACTCTAAAATGAGAACGTTAAGAGATAGAAAAAAATTTTCTTCGACAAAGTTGCTTGCAATTATCTTAGCTACATCGTTTTTAAACAACTAATGTTTTTATTTTGTAAAACACAAAAGTTAGTTTTAAAAATTCCCTAATTTGAGGACCACCCTGACGTTTGCAAACACCAAAAGAAGGGAATTTTTAAGAACAAAAACTTCTTCCCAGACACTTAATGTCCAAATTTTGAATCAAATGTACACGGACAGAAAATTGTTTGCATTGAACCAAAAAAAAACTTTATTTGTATTTACACAATCAATTCCGGTTGAAATTATATTGCATTTTATTGTTTCGATAATATTTATTCAAATAAATTCAAAATAAGATTCTTTTTGTTTTCATAAGCCACTCTTCAACTGCAACTATTGTTAAAATAGCAATATTCTTTTATCAAGCCAACAATAGTTAATTTTAATTTAACATTTATTTGTTGTGTCAATTCCCCGGGCCATGAATGCAAAAATAACTACCAACCATTCCCTCGTGAAAACCCGGACAAAAATGTAAACAATAACAAAAAATTTCTCGTTTGATTCAGCTCTAGAGGTAAGTAAGTATGCTGCTGTTGCAAAATATAAACAGTTTTTCTTTTTTTCCTTGATTTTTTCCGTCGATCTTATTTTCAGTACTGAGTACCAGTGCTCCCAACGCCAGGAAGGCCGCTCCCACACCTGGACCCTACCTATCGACCCATCAACTCATAAACCGGAGAGATTTTATGTCTCAGAAAGTTTTTTTTTTATTTAATAAATTGTAATTCTGTTGGTAACAAATAGAAAACAAAACATAAAAATAATCGCAAATTATTAAAAATTTAATCAATAAACATAATTTTATTTCTACTGCGTATATTTTTAGGCTTAATAAAATAAATATGATTGAATCAACAAGAAATCTCTTTTAAAAACAAACATATTTTTTTGTTGACCCAGCTGCCAAATTTGACAGCTTACGTCAAAACCACAAAAGCTCTTGTAAATTCGAAAAGATTTTCTTTTTGATTTAACAATCCATGGGTTTTTAAAAACAAAGATACTGGATTGTTGAAATAATAATGATTTCATTTTGCAGCCAAAACCAAATAAAATTCTTATTAAATTTACGTCAAATATTATTACTTTTAAAATATTTTTTTCTGCGTGTACTAGCACATTTTATATAAATTTGTCATTAGAGTGGTCCTATGAAATCCATCTTTTGCCAATAATTTTTTTATTTGAAATTTATCACGAAAGTCATCTTATAGAGACTTTTAAAACTCTTTAAAACGAATGTTTTATATCTGCATTTGTTGCCTGTATCTCTTCTAATAAAAATGTTATACCCAAATATAGTAAAAAATATGAACAAATTCAAATTGATTTTATACGAGCTTAAAAAATAACATACCTCCAATTTTGTCATATTATTGAGAATAACATACGCCCTTTCAAATGCCGTAAAAAAACTTTTTTTTTTTGCCCCAACCAGAGATATTAACATTCGAAAAGTGCATATTTTTAGTATAAAAACGTCAATAACTCTTGATCGGCGAAAGATATTGACAAACTTTGTGCAGCAAAAATTTGCGCCTTCTTAAGATCTAAAAGTTATCTAAAGACACCTTTGCTGAGAAATTCTAAATAAGAAAACTAGAGCAAAAAAACTGTTTTTTTAAGAGCCACCCTAACTCAATTCAAGAAATTAGCTCTAAATCGGCCAATTTAAGAGATACAAAAAAGTTATTTTCAACAATGTTGCTTGAAATTAGCTCAGCTATAACTTTGCCTAAGAATGTATACCTTAACTTATTCAAACAAAAAAGCTAGATTTTTGATTTTAATGATAATAGGAACCACCCTAGAATTTATTGTCATAAAAATGAGGGCCTAACTATAAGGAACAACTTTGTAGAAGAAACTTTTAGTCTAAAGTTTCAATTTCAGGCTCAAAACATATCATTCCACCTAAATCTGCATTCTGGACCACTGTGCACTGTGCAATGACTGCATCAGTGTCATTACCACTAAATACTCTAACCTCCTTAAGTACTCATTCCCTAGGTAAAAATGTCAAGATTACAGGTATAAAAATGAAACTACAACTTGTAAAATCGGAACCAACCTAACTAATAACCAATGATTTAAATAATCAAGAAATCAATTATAATCAATAACAATGCGCATGCACTTACCTTGAAATTCAACGGTATTTTTAGAACTGGAAAAGGATAGCCCTTTCCAATGAACAAATCAAACTGAACAGTGCATTAGGTCCTAAGTAACATTGACAGATTTTCTACGTCGACTTTCCCTTTGTAAACCCACGGCCATGTAAAGACATTTACAGGTGTTTTCAGCTCACAGATCGATGAAAGAAGCTTTTATCTACCATCTAATACGACAAACACAACAAAAAACGGTTATGTGTTCAAGTTATTAACGAATGAGAAAGTCGACGAAGAGCATCGATCAATGTTACTGAGGACCTAATGCAATGTTCAGCTTGAAATAGCTACGTATTGTTAAAAGCGGTACATCGTAAAACAATACAAATACACACAAGCGTTACGAACGTTACTTGAACAAGCAGTGTCAGTAATTTCTATAGAGTAAATTTATATTTCTAGATAGAGCTGGAATTAGTGCGTAACAGCTTTTGTAAACAATGACTTCTGTCGAAGATTTCTAGAAATTCAAGGCAAGTCCGATGGTGATTATCCTGGGCAAGCGTCTAAAGTACGCCCTGACCTACACCGAGTTCACTAAGTTGTGATGCACCGACCCGAACTACCCGGGTGGATCCAAGGGTGAGTACAAGTTTATTTTAAGTACGTATGTATGTTAGACCACATCGATGCAGGATTACGGCTAAATTATGACTATCTTCCTGACAAAAATTGTGTGGTTCACCGATAACATGGGGTTTATTACGGATGTCACTTCACGGTGAAAACTTGTCACTTGTCGTCACGGTGAAGTGATTCCCATTTGATTTGTACGGTAATCACGGTTCTTATTCTGAGTATCACTTGCTTATCTCTGTGTAGTGACACCCGTAATAAGGCCCCATATTGTGTGATATATCGTAAAACGGAGTAACATTGATATTTTTTTATAATTTCTAAATATTTTTTAAGGCAATGAATGTTTTTCAAATTTTACTTTTTTTAAACAAGTACTGATGTTCCTAGTGTTCATTCGTTAGTAATAAGTTTTACGAAAATTATTGCATTTGCACTATTTCTTTTGATTTGGGGTTGCTTTAATAAAGCTCGAAGAATATGGAAAAACATGCGTGAATTTCAAACAATTTAGTTCAAGAAATATGAAACTTTGAATAACTATTTAATCAGAAAACACTGTAAGCAATAAGAAGGCATCATTGAATTTGTGATGGCTATATTACATACACACATACGTTTCACAAGTGATTGCTTGAAAGCAAAAACAGGCAAAAAGTAAGAAAATTATTTTTCAATATGTTTAGAAAATATGTAACACATAATATACAAAAGCTCTATACGATATCAAAGGTAATACCTTAAGCTACAATATGGAACCAATGTTTACAATTCGGAAAAAGGGCAGCGAGTAAATTTATTCATTATATTATATTATCAAAGTTACCCGCATTATCAAAGATACCCCGTTTTACGGTACAAATTTATCCCCTATATTAACAACGACATCTTTCAAAAATGTATTCTGGGAGCAAAATTAATCCTCCAACACTTCAGGGAAGTTATGTATACGCAACTAATAATAAATGCATCTTAACTTTTCCAGATTAAATTGCTACTGACAAGACGAGCGAGAACTTCCATCTGATCTAAGACGTCAAGCGTTGGGCCCCGTGCACTGTATCACCGCAGAGAAAGTCAAGGTTCGTTACACTTTTCAAATGAGTAGTGCGCCTCTTTTATTTTTCATTCATTTTAATTGCAGTATCACCAGCATTGCCAGGTTAATAGCTTCCATATCGGACCGAAAAATATGCCGTACCAACCGACCGTTGATGGACGTGAACCTGTACAATATCTCTACCGGATGTAATGAACGTGCCCAAGTTCGAACCCGGAAATACGTCCATGATGTCCGGAGGAAGAAATTTGAAACATGAGTGCAAATGGTTTTTTTTTTGTTAAAGAGACTTTCAGCCTTGGGCTGGTTCGTCTCTCAGAATGCAAATGGTTTTGTTTTCAAATTCTCATATGATATGAGTGGTGCATGTCGAGTTTGAATCAAGTAAGATTTGTACCATTTCCCTTAGGCCACTCTAAACATGTCCGTATGAATAATGTGGTCTTAGGCACTCAATATGACTGCCAATGATTTAAAACTCTCATGTCATCTGATGTGTTGCATGTTTAAGCATGGTTGGAATAAGTTTATGGTCAGTTCCCAGAGAGTACCCGGAATATTTCCATGTGATCCATGTTGTCCTTGTCACTCATTGGTTTTATGTTATTATTGCTTTGGGAAATGTTTAAACACTTATTTGAACCAAAACCCAACATGTTCCATTAAAATGATACGAGTATCTTGACATTAATTTATTATATCGTAAAATTGCCATTCACCGCTCACTGCTTACGTATTATCATTATTTACATAGAGATACGTGATGTTCACCGACGTGTAAAGTTGTTTATTATTTCCCTTTGAGCAACATAAAAATGTATGAAATTATATCTGTCAAAATGAGTTTGACTGAGATTTATTATGTATTTTCCTCGGATTTTCACTAACACGCTCTCATATATCGCACCAATGCAACCAAACGTGAAAATCTCTATATAATTACATCAAATGCTAATTGTATAATTACAATTTATACCACCATGGTATGGCCACGGACATTCAAAATGAATGCCAACGGTTTTATTTAAAAACTCTTGTGATCTACGGTGTCGCATGCTGATTTTTAATCAAGTAAAGCCGGGCGTCCACTGGTGTGGCGGTGATGTGGCATGATGGAACATGTCAAAACGTCATGTTGAAAACGTGTGGTATATGACACACATCGACATGACGTTTTGACGTGCTAGCAGATTCCACATCTCCGCCATATCAGTTGGCGCCTGGCCTAAGGTTCTGGTCTTTTCGTTGGGGACATCTATCCATGTGGCGATGGAAACTGCCAATGATTTTATTGTAAAGTTCTCATGTTATTCAATGTGTCGCATATTGATTTCACATCCCTGGACACCCAGAATATGTTTTCAAATGAATAATTAATGGGTTGCCAAATTAATGTGTTGACCCTTTACTAGAGGGCAACCTCAACCAGCTGGCGACTGAGGTGACCTGCAAAAGGAATAACAGTTATTAATAAATTCGTAGTTTTGACAGTTAGACCACAGATTTAGCTGTCAGTTTGTCGTAACGCACACACTTGATTATGTAAACACTACGCATCATTGTCTGGTAGTTCGCTCAAAAATGTTACAACAATCGTCAAGCTCGCTGTAACGTCACCTAGTGCCTCGTCATCCACGAATTGGCGCCTATGTCAGTAGTCTAATAACTCTTAGCGCGCTGATGGCATGGTTCCAATGCCGCATAGAGAGTTGCTACAATGATATTAGGTTAGCTAAGGTCAGTTAACTGACTGGTGGGGAACGGGAGCTTTAGCAATGACTATTATGTATTTCTTTGACGTTATCTAACAACAATGGTGTGTACTGTTTACAATATCATGTTTGTAATTCTAATGTGTTGTATGGTTGCAAGCATTTGAAAACGTTAGATTCTAATGTTTTGCACATTTGAAAACATCAGAAAAAAATAAACTCTAGATACAATTGAAGGATCCAAAAAACGATTGATTCTAATGTGATACAACTAAAAACATTAGAAAGCATCAACATTTGAAAAAAATGTGAACAACGTTTAGTTTTGACGTTTTATACATTTGAAAACATCAGAGAACAATAAGCACTAGGTACAATTGAAAACATCAGAAAAACATTTTGTTTTAATGTCTTGTACATCAGACAACATCAGGAAGCGTCTACATTTGAAAAAAAAAAACCCGAAAAACGTTAAATTCTAACGTTTTGTTCATCTTAAAACATCTCAAAAACGTTTGGTTCTAATGACAAACGGTTGAAATTCTCGACGTCAGAACAACATTAGAATAGGAAAATTTTATTTCACGTTACCTTGTATAAATACATCTAAATCGCAATGTTTCCTAATGTTTGACGTCAGGAATACATTTTATTTCAATGCTGGTGTAGACATCAAAATCAACCGCTAGGCTAATGTAAATTTTTATTCGGGTTCCTCCGGGACACCCGAAATATATCGGGATGTGGCCAAAGTGGTTCATGGAACTAAATTTGAGTTCCATTGAACCAGTCATTGAATTCTCATGTAATTCGATGTGTCGCATGATGGGTTTGACTCTAATTAGATGTTGGCTTCTTCCCCCGGGACACCCGGAATATGTCCGGGTGTGGCCAAAGTGGTTCTTGGAACTAAATTTGAGTTCCATTGAACCAGTCATTGAATTCTCATGTAATTCGATGTGTCGCATGATAGATTTGACTCTAATTAGATGTTGGCTTCTTCCCCCGGGACACCCGGAATATGTCCGGATGTGGCCAAAGTGGTTCTTGGAACTAAATTTGAGTTCCATTGAACCAGTCATTGAATTCTCATGTAATTCGATGTGTCGCATGATGGGTTGGACCCTAATTAGATGTTGGCTTCTTCCCCCGGGACACCCGGAATATGTCCGGATGTGGCCAAAGTGGTTCATGGAACTAAATTTGAGTTCCATTGAACCAGTCATTGAATTCTCATGTAATTCGATGTGTCGCATGATAGGTTTGACTCTAATTAGATGTTGGCTTCTTGCCCCGGGACACCCGGAATATGTCCGGATGTGGCCAAAGTGGTTCTTGGAACTAAATTTGAGTTCCATTGAACCAGTCATTGAATTCTCATGTAATTCGATGTGTCGCATGATAGGTTTGACTCTAATTAGATGTTGGCTTCTTCCCCCGGGACACCCGGAATATGTCCGGATGTGGCCAAAGTGGTTCTTGGAACTAAATTTGAGTTCCATTGAACCAGTAATTGAATTCTCATGTAATTCGATGTGTCGCATGATAGATTTGACTCTAATTAGATGTTGGCTTCTTCCCCCGGGACACCCGGAATATGTCCGGATGTGGCCAAAGTGGTTCTTGGAACTAAATTTGAGTTCCATTGAACCAGTCATTGAATTCTCATGTAATTCGATGTGTCGCATCATGGGGTTAAACCTAATAAAATCTAATCAGTTACTGGATGCTTCCCCCAGGGCACCCGGGATTGGCCTGAACCTGAATGATGAGGCATCCCTGGGAATATCGTCTGATTTTGGGTAGATTGTAAGTTTGTTTGTTATTATTGTTAGTTTAAGATATGTATATGCAAAAAAATCAAATATTTTAGTTATAAGAATTATTTTTGTATGTATGTTTAAAGGAGTTTTAAATAAAGTCATTTGAAGGGTTCAACATTATTTACTTTTTATTTTTAAAATCGCAAAAAGAAAGAAAATGGTGGTGCACAAACTACAGCCGCCGGGTAGCGCGCCGGGGCGGACAAAAGGCGACCAAAGCGGCTAAAACGATCAGTTTTTTGACAGGTATCGTTTTCGCCTCAGGCGCCCAAATGTTGCAAATATGGTCGCCCCCGGCGCGCCGGCGACCAAATTTGCACCAAGTGGCGCCGCGAAGTTCGAGTCGCCCAAGTCCGCCCCGTCCGCCGAGCGGTCCGGGGGCGAGCCGTGGGCGACTAGCCCGCTGTATGTGGGTGGTAGCAGTACCGGAATTTGAAATCTCACTGTTAGTTCTCGCTCCCCACTTTTGGTTGTGGGGTGCTGGCTTTCAATCACTACGACATTCGCTCGGTATATTCGTGTAGGTATACAGGAATCCCCTGAATAGCGCGGTGAGTTGTGACGTCTACTCACTGCACTTTTTCGGCTGTCCTCCATCCAATTATGCTAACTTTTTGTATGTGATAGACTTATCACCTACAGAAAATCATCTCAATTGGTTCAAAAACAGCCGAGAAATTGCGGTGGGAGGACGACACCACCCACTGCGCTATTCGAGGGATTTCTGTACATGTAAAGGTACTATTTTCAGGAACTAAGGAGGAGGAAATTCTGCTAACCAGAAAAGCAGCACACAAAACAAACGACGAGATGAATCAGTGGATCTTTCGAAAGGACGACGGTTAGACAGGATACAATAAATCATTCATAAAGTGATACACAAATACTCCAGTGTTTTTGCACGGGCCAAGCCGCCTTTCGAGAACCGAGTGTGCCAGGAGAGAGAGTGGTGGCTCATTCATCTTACATGCTTACCGCTGAAAGGAGGATATCTTTACGTTATGTTTTATGTTCTTTGGGATGGACTATACATTACGTTTTCGGGTTTTCGCTCACACATCACATGCTTCCTATCATCGTTTTGAGCTGGATATATGTAGCTACACGAGCAGATTCCATCGGACTACAGGCAACCCGCGATTGTATGTGCTTTTTATTTGTGTTGAATTTCTCTTTCATTGATATCTCCGCTGCAAATTCATTTACTGCTGTGTTTTGCGTTATGATATACACAGCTAAAAAAAATAGTGTAAATTTCCGTTATTATGATGCACATAAATGGAGCGTCATATATCATACAAGTTTAGATTATAGATCGTGTAAATTTATGAGACATGTCATGCAATATTCCATATATTATATGCAACTGTCCACTTTTGTTTGCAACATTACTTGCAAGGTCCTAGTTTACGTGAAAAGGAAGTTTACATGTATGAATGTTTGCATGCATGGATGTTTACATCGCCAGTAAAATTCAGAATTTTTTGGTGTGTACGATAGATACACATTACGAAAAAGTCATGTAAATTTCGGTTTCCTGAGACATGTGTCGTGGCCCTTTTGACATAAGAATCAGTTGAAAGAAACGAGAAAATCAATTCAATCAAACGTTCTCTTCGTCGAGTTGCTTATGTTTCGGTTTGACAACACTTAATTTAACATGAAATGTTTGTTTACCTTCCATGATTTACGTTCAAAATGAATTACGTCTCATCATCGGATAGGGGCAACTCTCACCTTTCCGAAAGTGGTATTGGTCTGCGTGGGCGTACTTTGGTTAGCGTGTAAAGGGCCTTAGAAAGTTTGTTTACAAACGCTTTTGTGCCGTTATTAAATGTTACGCCTGATTTCTAAATGTGTATGATATGATAGATATGACCCTCCTTTATCGGACTATGTGGCAAAAATAGCACGAATGAAGTTTGCATAGTCGTGGTTATCAAAACAGAATGTCGTTGAAGAGAATCGACTAATGCAGATTGGTTCATGAGTTGATGGATCGATAGGTAGTGTCCAGGTGAGGAAGCTGCCTCCCTGGCGTCGGTAGCATTGGTGCTCAGCACAGACAACAAGATCGATGGAAAACAAATCAAGAAAAAAAAAAACTAACCCGGACGAACTCAGAATACGAGTAAATTTCCAACCCAAATTTGGGTAAATATAATCCATATATGGGTTAGTTTAATGCAAATTCTGCTTAAAATTATCCATACTTGAGTTAATAATTTACCCATATTCCGATTTTGTCCGGCTTAGTCGAATCTGGGTAAAATATACCTACATTTGGGTTATCTATTCTTAGCGTGCTCACCATCTTGTTTATGAGCATTAGCGTAGACGGTGACTCTGCAAAGTCTAGTCTACAT